ACACCCTGCCTTGGAGGAGGGTGAGCAGCAAGTCATTAGCACAGGACGTGGCTGAGGCTTGGGACGGGCTACTGAAGGAGGAACTCTGGGCAGGGATGCTGGGGAAGGCAGACACTTAGGAAATGGAACAACAGCCGGGAGCGGTGGCTCATGCCTGTAATCCCAGCTACTCAGGAGGCTGAGGCAGGAGGATCGCTTGAGGCCAGGAGTTCAAGATCAGCCTGCACAACATAGCGAGACCCCATTTCATTTGGGAGTGGTGGCTCACGCCTATAATCCCAACACTTTGGGAGGCCGAGGCGGGTGGATCACGAGGTCAGGTGTTCGAGACCAGCCTGACCAACATGGTGAAACCCTGTCTCTACTAAAAATACAAAGGTTAGCTGGGCGTGGTGGCATGCACCTGTAATCCCAGCTACTCGGGTGGCTGAGGCAGGAGAATCTCTTGAAGCTGGGAGGCGGAGGTTGCAGTGAGCTGAGATCGCACCACTGTACTCCATTCTGGGCAACAGAGCGAGAATCCATCTCAAAAATAAATAAAATAAAATATTAATAAAAAGTAAAAATACAAAAAAGAGATGGGACAACAAAGAAGGCCTCATAAAGGAGATGGAGAGGAGAGGGACAGGAGGAAACGGGAGAGCTAAGGTGACAGCCAGGAGCAGGCATGAGAGGCTCCCTAGAGTAGGGTTTTATTATCTCAAGTGACCGTGAGCGAACTGCTGAACCTCTCTGCGCTGCAGATATCATGGATACAATGAAGATAAAATGAAGACAATAACAACAGCACTTACGGGCGGGGTGGCTGTGGTGAAGATTAAATGAACAGTTTCTAGGGGAAGTGCTCAGAACGCGGCTGTATTAAATGCCTCAGGCTGCTATAACAAGGTACCACAAGCTGGGTGGCTTAGAACTACAGAAATGCATCCTCTCACACCTGCAGGCCAGAAGGCTGAGATGAAGGCATTCTCAGGGCCACGCTCCCTCTGAAGATGCTAGGGAAGGATCTCCCTCCCAGCTTCTGCCAGTTCCTCAGCTGTGGCAGCACAAGCCCAGTCTTCACGTGGCCTTCTCCCTGTGTGCATCTGTGTCCAGAATTTCCCCTTTGTATATATGTAATTTTATTTATTTATTTATTTTGAGACAGAGTCCTGCTCTGTCGCCCAGGCTGGAGTGCAGTGATACAATCTTGGCTCACTGCAACCTCCGCCTCTTGGGTTCAAGCAATTCTCCTGTCTCAGCCTCCCGAGTTGCTGGGATTACAGGTGCCCACCATCACACCTGACTAATTTTTTTGTATTTTTAGTAGAGACAGAGTTTCCCCATGTTGGCCAGGCTTGTCTTGAACTCCTGACCTCAAGTGATCCACTCACCTCAGCCTCCCAAAGTGCTGGGATTATAGGTGTGAGCTACTGCGCCTGGTCTATTTTATTTTATTTTTTAATACAGATGGGAGGGGTCTTACTATGTTGGCCAGGTTGGTCTTGAACTCCTGGCCTCAAGCAATCTTCCTGCCCCAGCCTCCCAAAGTGCTAGGATTATAAGCATGAGCCACTGCACCTGGCCAATTTCCCCTTTCCACGAGGACACCCAATATACTGGATAAAGCCTACCCTATCAACCTCATTTTAATTTGGCTACCTTTGTAAAGACTGTCTCCAAATACAGTTACATTTTGAGGTACTGAGCATCAGGACTCCAAGTCTTTTGGTGCTGGGGGGTGGGGCATGCAATTCAACCCACAACAGTGCCCTGCTCTGTGAAATGTGCACCTTTATGAATATGACACCCTCCGCGAGTTGTTTTCTTCAAAGGTATGAGGAAGAGACCAGGAAGGGGCAACCTGAGTGTGGGGAACCTAAATTTGTTGTGGCCACAATCTCCACAACAACAAGATGTTTCTCACACAGCACTTCGCAGCCCAGGTAAAGGTAAACATAAGAAGGAGAGGGAGTGACACATCCTGATAACGCGCCAAAGACAACCACAGGCAGAAATACTGGTGGCAGCAAGGCAGACAGGGAGCACTGCTCATGGCTCTGCCCGCCCCACTTTTGCTCAGGGACCACCAGGAGGCCTGAGGTCCCAAGGGACAGAAATCACCACCACCACCACCACCTCTCAGCCCTGGCCAACATACGCACAGGAGGCAAACCAGGCTTTGATCATTTATTAAAACCAATAAGAGGTTTAATCTGTGGGTAAAAAGGCCTTGTTTGCCAGCAGCTCAGGGGATGCCTTCGAGCTGACACGTGCTGGTGCACTTTGAAGGGGGAAGCATCACCTGGGAGCTGGAGATAAGCAATAGATTAACAACCGGAGCTACCAGAAGTGTCAAGCCAGGCATCACCTTAACAGAAATTATTCCTGGAGCTAATGTGGAAGTCATCAATCCCAAGAGAAAAGACAAGGCTGGGCGTGGTGGCTCATGCCTGTAATCTCAACATTTTGGAGGCTGAGGTGGGACGATCACTTAAAGCCAGGAGTTCAAGACCAGCCTGGGCAACGAAATGAGACCTCGTCTCTACAAAAAAAAACTAAAATAAATTAGCTGAGTGCGGTGGTGCATACCTTCCAGCCACTCAGGAGGCTGAGGCAGGAAGATCACTTAAGCCCAGGAGGTCAAGGCTACAGTGACCTATGATCTCATCACAGCACTCCAGCCTGGGCAACAGAGCAAAACCCTGTCTCTAAAAATAAGAGAAGACAGATGAAACACCTGCAAAGTGGGCCAAAACTTAGAAAAAGGCAATTGCTCTATTTTAGTTGAAGGATTGCGAAACAAAATTTTCAAGAGCAGCAATGAAAGACCTGCTTGCCACAGTATTTCAGCAAAACCACAAGTGAGCAGACTCTGACTCTCCCACGCCCCTCTCACTAACCCCAAGCCCTCTCCTTCCTCTTCATCCTAATTCCAGGAGTGACTTTGGCGGTACCTTCCCCGAAACTTCCCCCTTTGCCAAAGCTCCAGGTTCTAGAGCTTCCTTTCTTTCTTCTCTTCTGCTTTAAGGCCTGCTTACTCTGAGTTCAACACCCTTACAGCCTTGTTAGATAAATGGCTACATAAGATGATTGGTTATTCGGAGCGAGTATGGCTGATGATGGCTTCTGCAATATGATGCAATGAACCTGTGCCTACCTTCACCAAACGATCAGCAGTCACTTCGGTGTCATAGGGTAAACCATCAGCATGTCCCTCCTGATACAATGCACAGAGAAGAACACACCACTGCTGTGACAGTCCTGCCCCAAATGCATAAGAATATCACCACCAAGAAACATCAGCCAGACACAAACAAAGGGACATTCTACCAAATAACCATCTTGCGTTCTTCAAGAATGCCAATACCACGAAAGATAAAGAAAAACTGAGGAGCCGTTCCAGGCTAAAGGAGGCCCACAGAGACACAATTACTGAAAATAATGCATGATCTGGGATTATCTTTTGCTCCAATGTATGTTATTGGGTTAACTGGCAAAATCTGAATGCGGTCCATACATTAGAAAACTGTATTATAGCAGGCTTAGTGTCTTGATTTTGATCACTGCCTTGGTTATGTAAGAGAAAGTCCTTGTTCCTTTTTTTTTTTTTTAAGACGGGGTTTCACCATATTGGTCAGGCTGGTCTCAAACTCCTGACCTCAGGTGATCCACCCGCCTCAGCCTCCCAAAGTGCTGGGATTACAGGCTTGAGCCACTGCGCCTGGCAAAGTCCTTGTTCTTAAGGAATACACAGGAATATTTAGGAGTAAAGGATAGCCTGTCAGCCACTTAGAAAATAATAAAGTAAATGGGATAAAATGGTAGCATTAGGGAATCTCAACATAGGGTATAAAGGATGTCTTTCTACTATTCTTGCAATGCTTCTGTCTGGAAACATAATAATAAATATTACATATTTAATAAGTAAATAAATGAAAAAGTGTTCAGTGTTTCCCAGCAGGTGTCAAACTTGGCAATGCATTAAGATCACTCAGGAGCTCTGCATAAATATCAGTGCCCAGGCCCCAACCTAGAGATTCATATTCAGTTAGCTGGGGGTGAAACTCCAGACATCGGCACACGTGAAACACACCCAAGGTCATTCTAGTGTGAACCCAGAATAATAAGCAGCCAGGTCAGCCCTTGGTGTCGTTGGGTGACACTAGAGTTCCAGGCTGGGGACTTTCTGAGGCCCCCACGTCTGCTTGTTTGAGATCTGATCTCGGGGGCAGCATGGTGACTGAAAACAGGAACACAGCTGTGAGTCCAGTCTTGGTCCTTCTGCTAATAAGATGGGAGACCTGGGTCAGATCTCTTTTCTGGGCCAAGCCTGGTTTTCTCAGCTGTGTAATAAGATTAACCCGGAAGTGCCTCAGAGACCAATGTGCATTCAAGGAAGAAGATGCCCAGGTCAGTAACTGATATGGTTTGGCTGTGTCCCCACCCAAATCTCCAGTTCTAGCTCGCATGATCACCACGTGTTGTGGCAGGGACTTAGTGGGAGGTAATTGAATCACAGGGCAGGTCTTTCTCCTGCTGTTCTTGTGACACTGAAGAAGTCTCACAAGATCTGATTTTTCTTTTTTTTTTTTTTTTTTGAGACCGAATCTCACTCTGTTGCCCAGGCTGGATCCAGTGCAGTGGTGTGATCTCAGCTCATGGCAACCTCCACCTCCTGGGTTCAAGCAATTTTCATGCCTCAGCCTCTCAAGCAGCTGAGACTACAGGCATGAGCCACCATGCCTGGCTAATTTTTGTATTTTTATTAGAGATGGGGTTTTACCATATTGGCCAGGCTGCTCTTGAACTCCTGGCCTCAGGTGATCCACCGCCTTGGCCTCCCAAAGTGCTGGGATTACAGGTGTGAGTCACTGTGCCTGGCCTGATCTAATAGTTTTATAAAAGTGAGTTCCCCTGCTGCCATGTAAGAGGTAACTTTGCTCCTCCTCCACCCTCCACCTTCCACCATAATTGTGAGACCTCCCCAGCCATGTGGATCTGTGAGCCCATTAAACCTCTTTTTCTTTATAAATTATCCAGTCTCAGGTACGTCTTTATTAGCAGAGTGAGAATAAACTAATACAGTAACCCTTACATCCCCAGGCCTCAAAATGGAGTTGCCACAGGATGGCAGTCTGAAACTCTTGTGATGCCCAGCTGGCAAAAAGGAATTTGGATGAGTAGAGCTGGCCAGCTTCTGGAATTGCCGGTGGGTCCTGTCACTGTGTGGGTGACTCCTTGCACCCCTGTCCCTTCACAGGACTAAATTCTGGGAGGGTTCTTAGAAAGGGGCTAGAGAAAGCAAGAGGTCACCACTCTTCCTCCAAGCAGCAGGAAGGCAAGCTGGCGAAGCCAAGCTCCCAGGTAAACTGAGGCACCTCCACAGGTCCCTTTGTGAGGCGTGCTTGACCTGGGTTTTATGGAAAGAAAGTGCCCTCACCAAAAGGTGCTAAACAGGCCCTAGACTCCACCCAGATCACAGGTGCCAACCTCTGCCCTGCCCTAGACTCACCTAAAGCTGCACTGCCCAGAGTCATGGCCTCAGGTCACATGTGGCTACTGGGCACTTGAGATGTGGTCATCTCAATTGAGATATGCTATTAGTATAAAATATATACTAGATTTCCAAGTCTTCATAAGCAAAAAAAATATATATATATATCTCATTAAGAATTTTTAAGTATTCATTAACAACGAAATAATAATATTTTGGATATATCAAAGTTTACTAGGAGAATTCACTTCACCCCTTTTACTTTTTCTAACGTGGCAACAAAATGATTTAATATTACATACGTGGGTTACCTTATATTTCTATTGGACAGCTCTATTCTAAAGTCTGCACATTGTCCTTTTGTGGCTTATTTCCCAGATAATTTCATTAAATTAAATTGAGGGGCCAGGTGCAGTGGCTCACATCTGTAATCCCAGCATTTTGGGAGGCCAAGGTGCGTGGATCACCTGAGGTCAGGAGTTCAAAACCAGACTGGCCAACATGGTGAAACTGTCCCCACTAGAAACACAAAAATTAGCCAGGTGTAGTGGCACATGCCTATAATCCCAGCTACTCAGGAAGCTGAAGCAGGAGAATCACTTGAACCTGGGAGGCGGAGGTTGCAGTGAGCTGAGATCGTGCCACTATACTCCAGCCTGGGCAACAAGAGCGAAACTCCTTCTCAAAATAAATAAATAAATAATAAAGTAAATAAAATAAAAAATCAAATTCTGGGCCAGGCATGGTGGCTCACACCTGTAATCCCCAGCATTTTGGGAGGCTGAGGCAGAAGGATCACCTGAGGTCAGGAGTTCAAGGCCAGCTGGCCAGCATGGTGAACCATATGTAGTCTCTACTAAAAACACAAAAATTAGCCAGGCATGGTGTGGGCACCTGAAAGCCCAGCTACTCTGGAGGCTGAGGCAAGAGGATCATTTGAACCCAGGAGGCAGAGGTCAGTGAGCTGAGATTGCACCCTAGCACTCCAGCCTGGGTGACAGAGTGAGACTCCATCTTAAAAAATAAATTAATTAAAAAAAATAAATTGAGGAACAATTGAGCATGCAAAATAGAATCAGCCCTGGACCCTGGATACCCTGCAGTTAGAATTCCCCTGCAGTTCTAAGGCATCTGTAATTCCAACAAATACACATTTCCCTCAGGTCCACTAAAATGCAGATATTGTCAGATAATGCTCATTTCTCACAGCTTGCCTGAATAACAGTAATGATCATTATAGTAATTTACAGCCTAATACTCAACACTACCGTTTTAACCCCAGCTGCGAGACTGAATCTCAAACGTGACATTCTTTGAAGTAAAGCTCTGAATTATTATACCAGACTGCACAAACTCTGATAACTTACCTTTCCACAGAAAGAGAATATGTGGGTAATGAAGACAAATGGTGCAGAGTAGACTCTCATCAAAGACCCTCTGGCAGTAATGAGTTGCATTCCAGAAGGTTCCAGAAGGTTCTGTGGAAAGCTGCAATTTGGGATTGGTTCTCAGGTGTCTGTCTGACTGCTTTCTAAGGATAAAGTCTCCTGGTTTGTGTTTTAGCTATACCCACAGGAGCAACAGACTAAGACATTCCTCCCGCACAGTAACAGACCCAGGCAGTGCAGAACCATGTGGGTTTTATCTGTTCTGTTGCCCACAGTCTGGTTTTATCTTAGACCCCACCTGATGCAATCCATGTGGTGTACTGGCACTCCACTTAAGTTTCCTGTTTGTAAAAAGCCCCTTACATTTGGTGACTCCTAAGGGCTTTAGGGGAACTTTCTGGAAACCAGGAAGAAGGAAATAAAGGTTGTTTTGCTGAGGATGGGTGACATTGGCTGCAGGACCCAAATGAGTGGTTTGAACAGAAAGTCACCTCCACGCTGGACTGGTGCTTGGGCCCAGAAGCTTATCTATTCATACTTCAGAGGGATCCAGGAGTCAGACATGATGCTTCAGTTCTTTTTTAAAAAATATAGTATATAATCTTTATCAACAAGAGAAGACAGGGGCACGGAGGACAAACTGTGCACTCTACATAAGCATACATGTGACGAGAAAAATCACAGTCCGCTGTTCAAGGTCTAAGGAAGAAAACAACTAGGAAATGAGCATCTTCAAAAACAAGTTTTTCCTGCTTTTTTTTTAAAAAAAAAAATCGCAATGAGGTCCTGCTTTGTTGCCCAGGCTTGTCTCAAACTGCTGCCTTCAAGCCGTCCTCTCAACCTGGCCTCCCATAGTACTGAGATTACAGGTATGAGCCACTGTGCCCGGCCTCTGCCTACTTTTTACATCGACTATACTCAGCAGTCAATGCTCCATGCAAGCATTTGATAAGATCAATAATGTCTTTCAGCCTGCATTTCCAAACTACATAGAAAAAAACAGTAGTAAAGTCTTGCAAGGAGATGTTCCAAAAACCAATTATTATATACATCGTCAAATGTTTTTACTTTCATTGCAGGAAGCCGTATTTATATAAAAGCCACACTAATCTTTGCTTAAGAACATGGGGACTTCTTATTAAAAGGGTGTCCAGGGAAAAGATGCTTCCATTTTTAAATCTGAGCTGATTCTGAAAACTGAAGTTCTATGGCACCAAAGTGAGCAGGAATGAGAAAATGCCCTCTCGTTGGACAGCATTCTTACATCACCCACTTGAAAATTAAATCTGAAACAGAGTTCTGACAGGCCTGCTATTTTCTTCAGTGCCAAGAGCCACACAATAGACCTTTTTTTGGGACAAAGCTCTTAAAATGCTTGGAAATTCAGATGGACTGAGTCACAAAACTGTACAAATACTGCACACCCATTCCTGCTGGTGCCCCGCTCGCTCTCTTGGAAACAATACTATATTTTCTCTGTGTTTGGCAGAAGGAAAGAAATATTTTAAGTAGAGTTGTGACTTGTCTGAAGGGGTGACGGAGGAAGGCACGTTCAGAAAGTGGAAGCCGCTCGGCAGTCTTGAGGCTTCCGGGCAGGGGTGGTAGTTACCATTTCAGAAAAGTCCATTGGCTCCTCCTTCTCGATGTGGGCCATAAAATGATGCTCAGCCCCATGACTACACAAACTCCAGCATATCCTGATAAGTGTACAACATGCAGCATGGAGAGCTGAATGCACTGTCCACAAAGTAACACCCAAGCTGTCTGTATGTGGGTGCATGGAGGCTGGGGGGGTGGTAGGGTTGGAGACAGAGAGAGCGGGGGGAATGACAGCAGGAACACGGGGAAGGAGGAAAGTCGGTGAGGCAGTGGGAGATGCAACAAATAAAAATAAAAAGATCTCTGCACTATCTTCATGAGTTTCTCTCTCTTCCTTTTTCATGTTCAAATCAAATTATCCACCCCCATCATGCAACTGTTTCAGAGATTTTGAAATAATTGAGATGTGTTGCAAACACATCCTTGCACGTCAAGTGAGCAACGACTTCAAGTCCAAACGCCTCTCCAGAGAGATACTTCAGTTTGATGTTAATGACGGCCAAGAGTTTAGCTTGAGATGAAGGCAAAAGGGCCAAACACATCGACAAGGTCCTTAGAGGAAAGGAAGGGGGAAATGTTCTGAATAAAACCCCACTGGGCTAGAGAGGGTGGAGAGGCGTAGTAGCCAGTGGATTTTCATTTATTTGGTTTAATGGAGCTGAAGACCCACTTTGGGCTGCAGAAGGCAAGATAGACTTGGAGAACACAGTTTTTCAGAGCCGTCTAGGGACTCCAAACTCAACTCTGATTTAAAAAAAAAAAAGTTTTGACTTTTTTCAGGTTCTAAAAGTGTGAGAAATAAATAAAACAAGGACAAATCTGCTGGTCTGGCCCCCGGTTCCTCAACCTTAGCATGAGGACTGCATGATTCTTTGCTGCAGGGGCAGATCACCTGAGGTCAGGAGTTCGAGACCAGCCTGGTCAACATGATGAAACCCTATCTCTAATTTTTAAAAAGTACAAAAATTAGCTGGGTGCGGTGGTGTGCACCTGTAATTCCAGCTACTCAGGAGGTCGGGCATTGTAAGATGTTTAGCAGCGTCGCTGGCTTCCACCCACTAAGAGGTCATGACAAAGAAAATTGCCTCCAGGTATTGCCAGATATTCCCAAGGGACAAAATCCCTCTTGGATTGAGAATCACTGGTTTCAACTAAACATTTGGAAAAACAAAATTTTCACTAGGTAAAGATAGCCATCCCCTGTAAAGACCATATAGCATTTTTGGCAAACGTCGACAAACCCAAATAACCTGCCTTGACTTGAATAGCCAGGGAGGAGCACAGAAGTCTGAGACAAGAAAAGACCTTTGGTTTCAAAGCTTAATTTATGGTTTTTGAGAGCTATAACACTAATTAAAAATAATCCTGGGCCAGGCACAGTGGCTCCCATCTATAATCCCAGCACTTTGGGAGGCTGAGGCAGGAGAATCACTCAAGGCTAGGAATTTGAGACCAGCCTGGGCAACAGAGCAAGACCCTGTCTCTACAAAATACTTTTTTTTTTTTTTTTTTTTAAGATGGAGTCTCGCTCTGTCACCCAGGCTGGAGTGCAGAAGCATGACCTCGGCTCAGTACATCCTCCTCCTCTCGGGTTCAAGCTGTTCTCCTACCTCAGCCTCCAGAGTAGCTGGTATTACAGGTGCATGCCACCATACCCAGATAAGTTTTGTACTTTCTTTTTTTTAGAGATGGGGTTTCTCCATGTTGGCCAGGCTGATCTCAAACTCCTGACCTCAGGTAATCTGCCTGCCTCAACCTCCCACAGTGCTGGAATTACAGGCATAACCCACCATGCCTGGCCTACAAAATACTTTTACAAATTAGTGAGGTGTGTAGTCCCAGCTACCTGGAGGCTGAGGCAGGAGGATCTGTGGAGCCTAGGAGGCTGAGGCTGCAGTGAATCACAATCATGCCAGTGTACTCCAGCCTGGGTAATAGAATGAGACCCTGTCAGAAATCATCATCAATCTTCATCATTATTGTCATGATCATCATCACATCATCATCATCATCATCATCATCCTGGGGCATTCTAACTTAAAAGAAAAAAACAGGGAAAGCAGATGAGAGGGACCTTTGCACTTGAAAGCAGAACAAGCAAGTCTACAAGATCTGCTCTGTGTGGTTCTCCGCAGCCTGCCGTGACCAATTCCACAGAGTGGGACTGCAGCAGTGGGGTTCTCAAGACCTCTTTTCATTGAGTCTTTGTGTGCAGGGTGGCTTTGTGTCCACAAAGCATTTTGCATTGTTAGCTTTGGAAGGAGTGTCTTGGCATTCAGGTCTCAGAGAATAGAACGAAGTGTTTAAAATGACTATCCCTTAATTTTACAATGAAATTGACAAAGAGAGGCATGTAAGCCTGAACTAGAGTTCAGTGTACATTTGTACATTTTTTTAATGAGAAAGAGACTATAAAATTGTGTGCATTCCTTCAAGTATATCCCTCCAAAGCTGTACAAATTGGCCTTCTAGATAAGATCATACGTTCTCATTTCCACCTGTCATCTCCTGCTGAGCAGGCAAGGAGGGAAAAGGACCTGGTGACTTGGGTCTCTCTTGTTCCTCGGTACAGTACAATGATTTATGATTTCTAAGCCTGAGAATTTCGGAAGCCACTGAACATGAAAAGAGTGAAAAATCTTCTAAATCAAGAGAAAGAAAGGAGATGACTTGGTAGCACAGTGTACTCTTCTCAGACTCTGAAACACTACTCTGAAAGCTGTCACGAGTATGCATCGCATGGGCCTTTGCAGACAAAAAGGGTTTTTTATTCAGATTATTCCCCCACATTGCAGGGGAAAAGGGACTCATTTGTAATCATCAAAGGAATGCTGACAGACTTGAAATGGGATTACACTCTATTATACTCATCCGAATTAAAGGTTTGTTTTGGAGATCACTCTTTGGTTTCTTCCCCTCTGCTCCTCCAGCCCCAAATGAGGTGATTTGTATTCACAGGACATCAGAAGCAGACATAAAATCAGACTGTTCGCAAACGTATGTTTAGCCTCCGTGGCCTGAATTTTGAATTTTAATGTTGCCTGGTTTTCTGCATGTGGAAAACTTGGCTGTCAGGTGGAAACTAACGCCAGGCATCACTTCATCCAAGCATTGTTTCAGTCTCTGACCTGTTAGTGGAGGAGAAATTCATTTCCAGAGGTTTGAGTGAGCAAGTGTACAGGTGTCGGAGAGAACACAAGGATGAGAAATTCGTGTAAGGAAATGTAAAATCTATGCATGGGCAGAGTCATTAGTATGTCTGTGAACATACTTCCACTCAATTCCAAGCTCTGGGATTTGCTTACTATTTTGTGGAGAACGTAACCTGCCAAATCTATTGCTTATCCCTCACACTCCTCTGTAATGTGTGTGTCCACGAACCCACTAAAAAGCAAGCTTCCCCAGGAAAGGAATGATTTTTTGTAGTAGGTTGTATCATAGCTAGCACAGCATCTGGTACTTGAGAGAATATAGACTGTTTCCTATTCTTCCCTACTTCCAGTGTGTGGTCGCCATGAAACTGAGGCTCACCCGTGGAGGAGACTTGAGGATCTCAGGTTGGAATTCACAGTCCTTGGAAGAGCTCAAGTGGGTCAAGAAAGTGTCTCATGATTTTTGCCATCAAAAGAGCAAAACATACTAGAGAACATCCCTCTCAATGCAAAAAGATGATACTCCCTAAGCAGGAAGACAGAGCAAGGAATGTGGATAAAGTGCATTAGAAGTTGCGCCGTTTCTTTGCCCACTTTTTTTTTTTTTTTTTTTTTGAGACAGAGTCTTGCTCTGTCACCCAGGCTGAAATGCAGTGGTATGATCTTGGCTCACTGCAACCTCTGCCTCCCGGATTCAAGCGATTCTCCTGCCTTAGCCTCCTGAGTAGCTGGGATTACAGGCATGCACCATCGTGCCCAGGTAATTTTTGTATTTTTAGTACAGATAGGGGTTTCACCAAGTTGGCCAGGCTGGTCTCAAACTCCTGACCTCAAGTGATCTGCCTCAGCCTCCCAAAGAGTTAGGATTACAGGTGTGAGCCACTGCGACTGGCCCCTTTAGTAGTTTTTTAGCAAGGATTTATTAGTGGCAAATT